AATTAATTGGCGGGATTGTTTATTACTAGTTGACAGTCTAATGCTGTGTTTTCTTTAAAAATATTCCATATTAACCAAATAATGACATCACAGTAAGGCTAGATTACATGCATGCTGAGTAACTATGACCTCTTTGCCCTACTAAGGAATCATGTATGGTTTCCTAGCAACCTAAGAATTTGAGGCCTTACTTTTTAATGTGCAGCTGCAAGAGAATCTGTGAGGTTGCACCGTTGTCCAAGGAGACAGAGGTTTTTCTCTATCTGCCCTTCATTACACAAAGGAGCAGGTGTTGCACTTTTCATTTTTTCATGCCCTCGGCTCTGCTCCCGAATCCAGGGCAAGAGAAGCAATGGCTATGTCTGGAATGCCCCTTAATACCCTCCCCGGAGATGGAGCATGGGGTGAGTGGTTTCCTGGTTTCTGAAGTTGTATGTGGAAGCAAGAGTTAAAAAGAGGGCAATAAGTATTCTACAAATGACCAGAGTGAGAGGAATTTGGGGAATATGCAGGGATAACAGAAAACTTTATTGGGGAAGGTGTGTGAAGTTAAAAATAATACAGAGCTCTTGAATATTTCTTCAGTGAGTAGTTTTGTGCCATAATTCTGTTCATCTCATTACAAGTGTGATAAATGAACTTCTGTTCCAAGTGCAGTATTCCCTGCAATTTCTAATGCTGGGGGAGAGCAGCTGCCAGGGCCTCCCAAGGGGGGAGAGGGAAGCTCTTCCTGCCTCCTCCCATCCCCACTGCACCCCTCCCTCAAAGCCCCCTCCCCGGAGTCTGCTGTCTTCTGATTATGGCCATGACAGAAGTTTGAGGGAAGGCAGAACAGGTCTGTTTATGGAGTGACTGTCCCACTGCTGCCCAGGCCCAGCTTCGAGCAGCCAGAGGGAAGGTTCTGCACCGCGCAGATGGGTCAAGCCCCAGTTTTCAGCCTCCATACAAACACACATTTGGGAGCCCGGTGCTTGGCCCCGTTGTGCCCCAGGGCAGGTTTGCAGAGGAATGGGGCTGTGTTAGGCCACG